ATACAAATGTTTTTTTAAAATCCACGACTGTGCTAGCCTCTGAGGAAAATGCATACTGTGCATAAATTCAAAAAATCAACTGGAAAAATTCATGTCATAAATTATTTGCGACGTTCTGTTTTGCATGTATGCCAGTGTGTTACTGGCTGTGCATCTCGTTGACCCAATACGAGCATGGCGAAAGGGGATCCCTGGTGAGGTGACCTGGTTTTATTTGAGAATCTCACTCGGGCATGACCGACGAGTTGACTCCGTAGAACTGCACACCTTTGGTGCCCTCCTCGGATGGGCTCGTCTGACTTTCTGAGTCCTACAAGTGTCTAGATTTGAAGCTTTCGTGACTGCAAGGATTCATATTCTTAGGTTATTTTCGGTAAAGTCACGTAGGTAAAAATAAATTACAATAAAAATTATAAAAGTAAAATAAAAATAAAATAAAAATTACGACAGTTTCGGAGGCAACACAAGCTTCCGTCTTCAGGTGGAACCATCACAGCACGATTGCTGTATTTTTAGCTTACTTTTATTAATTTAAATTTTTTAACTACGTGACTTTACCGAAAAAACCTAAGAATATGAATCCTTGCAGTCACGAAAGCTTCCAATCTAGAATTATTACCCTCTACGGGGAGGAATTCCACCTATCTGAGTTTTTAACAGACAACGAGACAAGAAGTCACAGCTTCTCGAGACGCTGGCCTTCCTCAAGAGATGCCGAGAAATCAAGGTAATCTGTTTTCTTGGAATTTCTCTCACTTGATGCAGCTATCGTGCTGTGACGGTTCCACCTGAAGACGGAAGCTTGTGTTGCCTCCGAAACGTCGTGATTTTTATTTTATTTTTATTTTACTTTTATAAAACAAATTTTACCGACGTGACTTTACCGAAAAACCCTAAAAATATGAGTCCTAAAAGTGACCTCTATCACCTCCCGACGCAGGATCCAGTGGTCAGGAGTCGCCGGAAGGGAAGAGTAAGAAACTGGATTACAAACACATTTATTTCTGACAATTGTTTTTTTATCACCCTTCTATCTGGCAACAAAACTGACACCTTTTTTTTACAAGGAGTCATGTTTGCATAGACCACAATACCTGCAGTCATAATGCAAACAAAAAACATAACTCTGATAATGTATGCACTGTCCTTGAAGTTGATTGGTCCACACCCGAGACAGCTTTCCTTAGAGCCTAGTCTCACATGGTGTTGGACCAGATGACGCCAAAAGGCGCACAACTCAAAGACAATGCACCATCAGAGTATGAGAGCTTGGGGTAAGCATTTACACATTTATTTCTACACATCTACGGTACAGAGATTTTAGAATGTTGCCGTGGTGTAATGGTTGACATACAGCTGTTACAATCCAGAGGACCCCGTTGCAATTCGATCTTCCGGCGTGACAGTTGAAGAAATGGGGCAAGTTTCTTAAAACTCGGCTCCACTGCCTCTGTCCACGCAGCAGTACACATGGGTATGCCACCGTTTGTCGATCGGCTCTTGTGTGGTGAGGTAAAGTGTGGGTACTGCCAACTATTCCAAGACAATTGTTTTTTTTTACCCTTCTATCTGGCAACAAAACTGACACCTTTTTACAAGGAGTCATGCTTGCATAGACCGCAATACCTGCAGTCATAATACAAACAAAAGACATAACTCTGATAATGTGCACTGTCCTTGAAGTTGATTGGTCCACACCCGAGACAGCTTTCCTTAGAGCCTAGTTTCAGATGGGTTGGACCAGATGACGCCAAACATGACTCCTTGTAAAAAGGTGTCAGTTTTGTTGCCAGATAGAAGGGTAAAAAAACCAATTATCATATTTTTACTGGCAAATGAGGTTCCCATAGTATTCCAAGACACATGAACAGCTTGGAAGAGTAGGCCAAAATCCCGTTAGAGGAGCTCTCCAGACTTCCCTCTAGTGGAGGCTCTTCCACCATCAGTGGCATGAACAAGTAAATGCAGTGATGTAGCTTTACCTTTTTGCAGATATATTAGCATTCATTTTCCAACATTAAACCTTCACTCCGTGGTCGGTCGTTCCTTCTCGCCTGCTTGCCCCATGGTCTGGAACTCCCTTCCCCCGGTCATCCGTGCTGTCAACTCCCCTGTCCTTGTTCAAGTGCAGACTCAAAAACCTTCCTCTGTACCTCGGCCTGCGACTGCCTACCTCTCTCGACACAATCCGATTTGCACGGTTGGCTCTGCATTGCGTGAAATAAGTTAAACATTCTGTATCTGTACAGTGTATCGAGACGTGGTCACATATATTTACACACGTGCTTTACGAATCCAAATTGTATCGTACTCTAACCCAGGAATGCGTTAAACCTGACAAAAATGTATATATATATACAAGTGTATTCCTTTGGTTGCAGAAGGAAGGGAGGTGTTGGGTCAGTGGGGGCAGTTGGGGGGGGGGGATGCAGGGGAGAGGCCAAACCCATGGAACCCCTGATGGATCAGGGGTCGAGCTGTTGGAAGTCGCGACTGGAACGTTCCTGGAATGGCCAAGCACTGCTCATAAGTTCCCGTGAGAACGCATGGATTAAATGCCAGAAGTGGAGATATCTTTAATCAAGGAAGAGGCTTTAGCGGTCTGTGAAAATGAAGTGCATTTGGCTGGCAATGCTGCACGAATAAAGGAGTTGCTGACAACTCGACAGGACCTCTGCTCCCAAACGTGTCTCAATAATATTTTTTTTGGTTGGTGAGCCCCCTGTTTCCTTAATCGAGACGGAAGGTTTAATTTTTCAAGGGATGGACAGGAATGAGGTCACAATGGGCGGATTTTAATCTTCTTAAATCATATGATGATTGAGCACGTGGTGTCCTCTAGGCAACCAACCGCCCCTCCCCCCCCACAAAAAAATACTCAATGCTTCTCACGACTCTCAAATGGGTCTTGCAATTGTGACTTTTGGCCTGTTCCACTTACGGCGGTTTGGCATGTGGGAGGAAACCAGAATACCAGGTGCTCCACACAAATAGATGCAAGGATCCATCGCTGTGCGGCCTTCTCCAGTGCGAGCTAAGGTGGTTGCTGTGAAGCTTTGCCATGGACAGGAAGTGTGATGAAAGTCTTGGAAAGAGATTAATCGCGTTGTCATGTTGTTTACACTTTTTCATTTTTGCTATCGGTGCCGTGTCGTGAGAGAAAGATAAACCCATTTGCAGAGCGATGCATCGTCCTGTGTAGACAACAGCCCGTGGAAGGTGCTATCTCAGAACCGCGTCTGAGATCCCTTATTCACACGCAGAGGTGCTGCAATTCAGCACATATCACGATTGGAATAAGCACCAGTGATTTGCATAAAATGTTGAATTGAGCACATGGTAATTATCAATGTTAATCAATTACAGACATTCTCCATCATTGCAGGAATAATGGTATTTGAATATGCTCAGGGTCAGATTGCTACATTGTGCAAAATGAAAAGACAGTTACGTCATCGTCATTATCATCATGGTGACTCGATGCTTCAACCCATTACAGCAGCAAGTTGAATCTAATGAAGTCTTTACCATCATCAACCATGATCAATCCACTGCTGGATGAAAGCCTCCCCCAGGCCGCCACTACTTCTCAACATCCTGTGACGCAACAATTCAACTGGCACCACCTGCACACGATCTCATTTCATCGCTCCATCTCCCAAAGGACTTCCATTTCTTGGCTGCCAAAAAAAGTATTTAAAATGTAGATCAATTACTCGGTGATAATCAATGTTCAACATTGCAAATTGACATAATCAGCATCAACATAATCATAACCAAAACAAAGTCTAATGTAGAAACCTGTTGACATGCGTGATGGTATATATAATAACCTGCGTATAGATAGAATTCATAATGGGAGGTTTACCTAAAAAAAATTACCCGTAAATACAAAGTTTTTCACTATAAATCCTTTATATGCGTGGCAGCTAGAGTCCTCTCGTCCTCTGGCTTGAGATGATTGCCTGCCACCATTAAGCAATTGGTAATTAAATATTTTAAAAAAAATTCCTAAAAAGTGTAAAGTTATGGAAAAAAAAATTCACAAAAATAAATTGTCACGCACAACGAGTCTGTGTGCAAAATGTCAGCTCGATTGGATCACGGGAAGTGGGTTAAAAAACGACTGAAAGATTTGCACGGTCGTAAGCGCGCAAGCAAGCACGCAAGTGAACTTAATATAAAGAATTTAAAAAAATGGCGCTCGGCAGGACGTTCCATTCCCACTGATTATACAAAATCACTGCATTCAGTCGTACAATAGCACAAAGCAATCGGCAACAGTCGCCACGAGTGACTCTCATATGGAATTCACGCGCACAGATGCAACCTTCATTCAAAAAGGATTCCGTAGAGGTTCGAGAGTGGACGACCATGCATCCACCATTAAAGCCTCCACTTCTCCCATCGCTGCGATTGCAATTCCCGCACTGGACCAGGGACGCAAATTGTGTGCCAGGTAAGCGAGCAGGGCGTACCTGTGTTCACTTGAGTGAGTGGAGAGTGTGTGGTGGCAGCGCTTGATGTCACCTATGCATGGATTCGTAGAATTGTACACAATGTATTGGGGGAATGCCGCAATGGTTAGCACACTGGACTGGCAATTCAGAGGTTGCTGTTTTGAATCATCTCCCGGGCGCGGTAGTAAATTATATGAAGTATGTTTCTACCCCCCCACCTCCTCCAATCCGGTATGTACGAGTGCACTGCAGTTATTTGATCGGAAGGTCGCGTGTGGTGTGGTAAAGTGTGGGTACTTCAATCTCTTCCGAGAAGTCTGGCCAGGATGGCAGGGCAACGTATCCTATAGAGTGGCGCTATAAGAACTCCCTCTTGTGGAGGAACTTCCATCAGCAAGCAATTGCTGAGCAGCGCCTTTGCCCTATACGTAACATCCCTTAGAAAGCGAAGGAACGTAACCGGTTGGAGACGTGAGTTTGGCCACCACCGTGTCAAGGCGTGTTCGTGTTGAAGGTGCAAACGAAGGCAATGCAGCCACGTACAATGTCAGGATTTTATATTGAAGAACATCACAGCTAGTATAATACATTCCAAAAAATTTGAAATAAAAAAACAAGGAATCTTAAATAACAGTTTAAACTACAGTACCGCTTGATATTTCATTCCCAAAATACATGAAATAACCATGATACAAAATGTCTGATAAATATCACTAAATAAGCAATGCACTTAATTTACCATGAACGCAGTGCATTATGGAACACGGCTGCTCCCGCTACTGCTAAGACATATCCCGTTCCTGAAATCTGATTTTCTCCACCTTGGAATGATAGAATTTACAAGACTTATGAGGTACACTGGTGGGGAAAACTCAAAAATAACATCAGAACTAATTTGCCTGTGTGTTGACCACAAAATAGCACGAGTGAGTTTATTTATTTTTCCTTGTGTTCAGTTTGGAGATTAAGTTCATTATAAGACCTAAACAACTTCCACAACAAGCAATCTTTCAATTATACTTTGTAATGGTTTTGTTTAAACCATATGATCCTTATGGCGGTACCACGGGGTACCAAAGAATACTAAATGGCCAAGGCAATTAAATATTTTATTTCTGGGACACTTTTTTTTCCAGGGGTGTACTTAACTCCGCGACTGGGGTACCAATCAATCCAAAATCAGTGCCACTCCGAGATGTCGGAATGTAGCGAGGACAATGATTGCGCTGAAACCCTGAACGCTCGTACGCACCGTAGTCGTGTACAGCTCGTCGAGATGAGTCGATTGCCGCATCGCTGACCATCAACAGACTAAAAATGACTAGATCACGGACATTATGCGAGAGCCGGGGTACTATGAAATCCCGGGGGGTACCGCCATGAGGTTCATATGCCATTTTGCTCAGCAATATAGGTGCAGATCACATTGGGTTGCATCAATAGAACGAAATACGTAACACATGGGTAAATATCATGTGCTTTAACACTACGATGTTCTACGATGATTCGTGCTTTCTTGTGTTGTATGTTTGAGAAACGTTGGCAAGGATGCAGTCCCAGAGGAAAGTGGGCATTGTCAATTCACTTAAGCGTGAAAAGTAATTTACAACTTTACATAATCAAAGCAAGCAAACATTACTTGACAACTTTCAGAAAAATGTAAACGTAGAAAAGTGTCCCTTCATTTTGTTTTCTTCCTCGACTTTAAAAACAAAATTGATGTCTTTATTTTACATGTGTCTTCCCCATTCGTATTTCTGTTCAGCAAAATACATTGTCAAGAAAATGAAGACTTCTACAAGTGATTTTGTAATTAAAACCATTATTCCAATGCATTACAGAAAATTGTGAAATAAGGGAGCGGTGGTGAATTTAAAAGAGGGTAGAATTCTGCAGTGAAATCCCAATACAATGCACGTACCTTTCGAAATAAACAGTGAGCACATATAAAACACGTTAATTGAACACAATGTTTAATTTACCATTTTGTACCTGTGATTCTTTATTTCAAATTCAAGGACCACATAAGCATTAGCAGTTCAGTGCAGTTTTAATTCTTGAAATTCTCCATAATTTCCCATCCTCATAAAAGTCCATTCCTCCCAGTGGCAAGCACTCCCAGTGAAATGAGGCCCCATACACTCCACACGTCAATTCCTGCTGAATTGTTGCGTCCTCTTCCCAACTTCATCCCTGCAAAACCAGGACAATGAATGAAAGAGGCAAAACACATTCTCAATAAAATTATACAGCAGCAGAATTATACAATTTTTTCGAGCTATATTACAATTAACGTCAGAAGATGAAAGCTTATAAAGCGGAGAATATCACCATAACCAACGTTTTTGGGTTAGATCGCGTTATTTATAAATGTGTCGTAACCCTTCACCACCCGACACGGCCAATCAACAAAAAAGTGTCACGTTGACAAAAAGACAAATAGTTCACTATTTTAGCCCACCGGTGTGTTGAAGTGTGAAACCACAACATTTTCAATGTTTTGAGTAGTACGACGTTTCGCTGGTAATTGCATCCAGCATCATCGGGCAATTCGCCAGAATGGCGAGGCTCTGATCTTGCTCCCGGTCTTTATAAATAACGCGATCTAACCAAAAAACGTTGATTATGAATGAAATTGGTCGCGAAAGCCTACGTGTTAAACTGAATATCACCATACATTATTGTTCTTTGGTGAAAAAAGCCATTTTTGGGGTGGCGGTGGTAAAGGGAAAGGTTCTTCTTGGTTCTTTCAGTAAAGTCACGTAGAAGGAAAATAATAAAATAACAAAAATAAAACATAATAAAATAATTCTCACGACGTTTCGGCCACAACGCAAGCAGCCGTCTTCAGGTGGAGAACAGGTCTGTCGAGAGACGTCATGAGAAATATTTTATTATGCTTTATTTTTATTATTTTATTATTTTCCTTCTACGTGACTTTACCGAAAGAACCAAGAAGATGAATCCCTGCAGTCACGAAAGCTTTAAATCGAAATTTAAGGGGAAGGTTGTTTATTTTTTTTCAAAACACGCGCTTTAACGTGCTGTAGTTTAAAAGTAACGCTTTGCCTGTTCTGTCGGGTATCTTCATTTGTGAGCTCGAGGCTCCCAGGCCTCCGTCGCTCTGAGCCTGCACCTCGAATGAATACACTCCCCCGTCTGGCAGCACCACCTCCACGCCGGTGCCATTGGTTATGATCTCTTTGTCAGTGCCTCTGTCCAGTGACACGTACGACACCTGTGTAATGAGAGAAAGGGGGAAAATTATGCTAATTATTCACTGGGTCAGATCACTTGAGTGCAGTGCAATTGTGTGTCGTGCACCCTCATTGGAATTGCTCGAGAATGCGAGTGTGTCGAAGAGTATTCATATTCTTAGGTTTTTTTCGGTAAAGTCACGTAGGTAAAAAAAAAAAAAATTTATAAAAGTAAAATAAAATAAAAATCACGACGTTTCGGAGGCAACACAAGCTTCCGTCTTCAGGTGGAACCGTCACAGCCACGACAGCTGTATCAAGTAAATGAGAGATTACACACGTTTAACAATTGGGAACGAACTTTTCGCTGGTAGTGACAACCAACTTCACCAGGCGATTGCCAGAATTTAAAATGCTGTAGTGGAAATGTCCTCTGATTCAGAATCATGTAATGTACAAACTTTACCTATTTTATTGGATGATAGCAAAAAAGCACTTTTCTCACTTCTAAATGTGCAATGTAACAAACTATATTTCTTTTAAACAAAATAACTTTCATTTAGCAAGTGCCATAGCGTGACTTTGTGTATTCGCATGCATGACATTGGTGGAAGAAATGCAATTAACCTTTTCATTCATTAATAATGCATAATCCCCAAAGATGGCAGTGACAATTATCGAAGAAAAACACCTAATTTTCTAAAAGAAAGAAAAGGCGAACAATGCTTGCGACGTAAACATTTTATTTTCATCGCTCGCAATGCACGAAAAAGGTGATGAAAGTATTTGCTTATGCGAACACAATTTGGTGCACAAACAGGAAGGACTATGTGGCAGTGTTCGCGATTGTTAATTACATATTTGAAACTTGTCAGATAAGATGCTTTAAAACTGTCAGCGTTTTCATTATTTTTATTTATCCAAGCCCTCTGAGCATGGCCGAGCAAAATAAATTACTCAAACAAATAATAATTTGAATGCAATTTACCTTGTATCCAGTGACAGCTGATTCATTCTCCATGGCAATTACCGGGTCCCAGTGTAATGTAACCTTGGTGCCATCCTGCTTCAAGTCGATATTTTTTGGAGGTTTGCTAGGTGCTAACAAAAACAACAGATACACCGTTTAATGAATAGCTAGCGTCAGGTAAGTGGTTAAAAAAAAAAAAACCGCAGTTAGTCCACACACAAGTTGAAGATATAAATCCAACGATTTCCAAAACTCCACATTGGAATTAATAATTCACGAAGCAGAAAAATTTTCAAGACATACTGACGATGCACTGCACTGCGGTCACAGCGAAGAAAGCGCCGTAGTGGTGCAAATCACACGGCCCGTCGCAAACATTTACAGAACAAATCCAGCACACCACAGGATGTACCCTCAATGCTTATAATCTCGATGATGACAGTGGAACTTTAATGATCAAAACCAAAATCCAGCCACAGAGCAATGAGCAGTGAACGCTGGTTTGAAATTCAGCCTCCCTTCTTGCACAAGGAGGCTGGTGGATTTGCTCTCATTAAAAATAACGAAAAGGGCCCCACCTGCAACAGACCGATATGATAATTGTCATGTTTGCTGGCCAGAACACTTTATCAGCATTAGCCAACCAGAACATATGAGAAGCTCTGACCATGGGCATCAGTCCACGGCTCCAAACTTTTCCACTGTGAATTTTAATGCGATGCCACGTTCTTACACACACCACAAGATTCTGCAATCATAGTAATTCTCGTGGCGAATTTATTTTTTAAAAACCAGCGCGGTTTGTCAACGGCCGTTGAATTAAACGCAACGTGTGATAACGCTCAGTTAAATGTTCACATGGCAAGCCAATCGTCCAAACAGGCGACCCACACCAACAGTTTCCATTCACATACTCTACTTAAATTTCGATTTAAAGCTTTCGTGACTGCAGGGATTCATCTTCTTGGTTCTTTCGGTAAAGTCACGTAGAAGGGAAGTAATAAAATAATAAAATAAAACATAATTAAATAATTCTCACGACGTTTCGGCGACAACGCAAGCAGCCGTCCTCATGTGAAGAGGACGGCTGCTTGCGTTGTGGCCGAAACGTCGTGAGAATTATTTTATTATGTTTTATTTTATTATTTTAGTACTTCCCTTCTACGTGACTTTACCGAAAGAACCAAGAAGATACTCTACTTAATTTCAGTGTTTTTACCGTACGGTATTCCCTTGCTATTCGCAGGGAATATGTTCCGGGGATGCTCGTGAATAGTAATTAAAAAATGAATTACCTTAAACAAACATGGAAATAAGCTACTAAATTCATGAAAATTATCATAACACACCTTTTTATCTCATCACTTTCTCTCTCATCACTTCACTCTCTCGCCACTTTTTCTCTCCTCACTTTCTCTCCTCACTTTATTTCTCTCTCTTTCTCTCTCTCGATGCAGTCAGTGGTGTTGAGTTTCAGATGCGATTCACAGAAAGCCAAAATAGCGGATATCAAAGTTCGCGAACAGCGAGGGAATACTGTACCATGTAAAAAAAAGCATTGCTTCCTTTGCTCGACAACAATAGTGGACCCACGAAATTCACTCACCCACCGGAAGATTGTTCGGAGGCTCAGTGAGGCTTCCCTGGGTCAAAATTGTTCTAATAAATTATGTTGAGGGTGGCAACACTTACGAGGCTTCTTGGTGATGAGCTGGGCGATGTGACTGGGTGGTCCCGTGCCTCCGCTGTTGTATGCCTTCACGACCAGTTGGTAATCGGTGCTGCCCGTAAGACTTTGGAGCACCGCGCTAGATTCCAGGCCATCTGTCCGTGCACTCTCTGCCATCAGCTCTCCCTCAAACTTTTTCCAGTACACAATCTGAGGGACAGATGTCACAGCATTGTGCGTCAATTAAAAAATGTGTTTTGCAACCCGTAGTTTCTGCAGTTGCCGCGATGTAATTTCAACTTTGTAATCTAAATTGAAAACTAATTTATCATTTAAATCTTGACCTAAAGCTTTCGTGACTGCAAGAATTCGTATTCTTTTGGGTCTTTCGGTAAACGTCACGTAGATGGTTCAAAGAAAACAAAAAAATAACAAAAAACTACGACGTTTCGATCACAACACAAGTGATCGTCATCAGGAGGATAGAGGAGGAAAGCTGCTGTTGAAAGCTCATTTATTTAGGACAGTGTTTGTGTTTGTGCATCCCCAATTAGCACATTTGGTTATGTACAGTCCAAAATAAATTCAACGTACATACATACATAATCGTACTTCACATTTTCATTCTATTGGGTTTTTTGTGCTTTGCAGTGCTCTTGGCGCAAATAAACATTACGTTGAATAACTTTAGACTGCAGTTAGCTCAACATATTTAACGAATATAATTGCTCTGAAAAATGTTTTAGAAAATATAAATGTAACGGGTAATAGCTATTTCATTGAACGTTGATAATTATTACCATGAACTTGAGTCATTGTTATTTCAGAAATATGTTGTCAACATTTTTACTATTTAGGTAAAATTTAATGAATACCAACAAGCACAATATTTTTGCAAAGCGGGTGCTTTGATTGTCACGGATCTAGTATCAAAAAAATTATATATTTGATGTATCACTTCAGCAATTTTGAGATGGGGCAGGTATTCATATTGAAGCAGTAGTAAGACGTTTTAAAAATATACGTAGACAGCCAGAAATCAAACTCGGGTTGCAAGGTTCACAGTGCAGTGTGCTAATAATTAAGCCACTGATCACCCAATGAAATGTGCATGTGTACATTCATGTACTGCGGGTGTGTCTATTCACTGCTGGATGCTGGCTGTGGAACATTGATATGTGACCATACTGCACGACGATGGTCAGTGTGGGTTGGAAAAAAATTAACCCGTAAAAACAAAGTTTTTCACTATAAATCCTTTATATGCGTGGCATCGGTTTTATTTTATTATTCATTTCTGTTTTTCTAGAGTAAGAGTTTCATTTTTATCACATTGGTATTTTAAATTAAATATGAATTTTTCTTTTTTTCCAAAAAAGTGGAAAATTTTGGAAAAATGTTTTCACGAAAATTAATTGTCACGCACAACGAGTATGTGTGCAAAATGTCAGCTCGATTGGATCACGAGAAGTGGGTTAACAAACGACCGAAAGATTTGCACGGTCGTAAGCGCCCAAGCAAGCAAGCAAGTGAACTTAATATAAAGGATTTAAAAACGGGAAAGTACAGATGGATTGTGTTGCACTGTCCCTCCCTTACACACTGCATGATAACACAGACAATGTGAGGAGCCTGCTATTACATGCTTTGCCAATCGCTATGACATGAATACGTGTTCTACTTAGTACTTTTGAAATGTATGAAAACAGTGGCATGAATTTGTAAACGCACGGCATCTTCCATGGGATTAATTGCGCGAAAGCTGAAGGGTTCACGCGTCGAGATTTTGTCTTCACTTTTGTCACGTGATTAATCCATGACACCCGTGGATTACCAGAAGAATCGTTGTGTGATCGTGTTAATTGAATCAAAGTGGGGTGATAATGGAACATTGAAAGGGCGTCCGCTGCACAGCTTTGAGCCGTCCAAGCCAATGATTTAAACTAAAAATAGAAATAACGATTCTGATTGAGACGTAGTTGTCTTGTTGTTTGCGATAACGCTATTTTAATTATCGCGAAGAACCCTGCAGCATTCTTAGCACAAGCGTGGTACGCACCACAGAGAGTCTGGTTTAAAGTATCTCAACCTGAACTTTAATTCACCTTTTTTCATAACAACTGTCGTTCCACAAGGCTTAAAGTGGCTCAGATGGCATAAATGTAGAGAAGATTTTTTTTTTTACTGGAAACACTGAGGGTCGGAGTATCATCTTGGCGCGACAGCCGAAACTCAATGCCGTGGCGATTTGCTCCGTTGTAGTTGAACATTTGGCACGATAAGAATTTGGCTCCTCGCGTTTTGTTCAATATTTTAGATAGGGCAAAGATGCATCCCTGCATTTCTTGCTCGCGTCTCTGCCTACGATAGGGCCTCCAATAAAGCAAGCTCTAGACAGCTCCTCTAGATGGCATTTGGCCTCATCTCCATGCTGCCAAGACATATTTGAAGACGGGGAGCACCCACTATTTACGCCACCGCGCACGACTTTGCCGATAAGCTAACTGCGGCGTACCCATTTATACCGCTGGATGGACAGAGGCCTGGGCAATCAAGAAACGTTCACCTTGATTTCAACTGCTGCTTGTAGGTATTATGTTGAACTTCTTTCGCACCGTACATAGCCAGCCGTGCTAATCGGAGGCATGGAGATCGGATCAAATTGAAACTTCACCGGGAGATTGAATTGCCAGGACAGTCTGCTAAACCATTACAGCACGCATGGAAGTGTCCCTCCATTTGCTTAATCGTTAAAGATTGTTGTTCAATTAAATTATCCACCAATCGCTTCAGTGAGAGGCATTTTATTCTACCTGCAATAAGTGAATAAACAATCGTTGAGGCCTTGCGAATCTGAACAAAACTACAGACGTTCAAATCGCTTTCGAGTGTGAGTCGTCGGACAGTTCAAGAGCCAACATGCGGACGTGAGACACGGACCGCGGAAGGTCTCTCTTGGTATGTCGGTTCCTGGTGGGTGCCCCGCACCATGCAGGACCTCGCAAGGGCAACAAACCGGGCCACATCATCATCATTCACATCATCATCATCCACATCATCATCCACATCATCATCATCATCATCCACATCATCATCATCATCCACATCATCATCATCATCCACATCATCATCATCCACATCATCATCATCATCCACATCATCATCATCCACATCATCATCATCCACATCATCATCATCCACATCATCATCATCCACATCATCATCATCCACATCATCATCATCCACATCATCATCCACATCATCATCATCCACATCATCATCCACATCATCATCATCATCATCCACATCATCATCATCCACATCATCATCCACATTATCATCCACATCATCATCATCATCCACATCATCATCATCCACATCATCATCATCCACATCATCATCATCCACATCATCATCCACATCATCATCATCCACATCATCATCCACATCATCATCATCATCCACATCATCATCCACATCATCATCATCATCATCCACATCATCATCATCCACATCATCATCATCCACATCATCATCATCCACATCATCATCATCCACATCATCATCATCCACATCATCATCATCCACATCATCATCTACATCATCATCATCCACATCATCATCATCATAACCACGGCCCTGATAATGGACAGACATATCACTGTTGCTGGCAGGACACGCCGTTGCTGGCAGGACACGAGGAGAGAGGAAGAGCGAATGGGGGTAGGGGTCTAAGAGAGTTTAAAACACGGGGCCTTACTTCATAGCCGGTGATGCGCTCTGCGCTGGAGGTGAGAGGCGGAGCTCTCCAGGACACCTCTGCTTCTGCCGACGTCAGGCTCCTCGCAGTCACGTTGGACGGAGCAACTTTTGGTGCTGCAACCAACGTGCATCAGAAGAGAGTGACTATACAAGATAGACACCAACTACTGCACGTGTATGTTCGATCAATGTATTCGTGCGTTGAAATATTAAAGGGTACAAAAGCAAGTGGCCAGAGTGGCACCTTGTGGCGCCTGAGATTTGAAACCCACGCAGTCAGACCTCTCGCTCATCCTGGGCCAATTGCTTCACCACCTCAGAGCCGAACGGCGAGCGGTGTTCTACGGCTCTCCGATGCGCTTGCACGCTCGTACCGCGTGTCGTTCGGAGCGACGTCCGATATCGGGAATCGTGAACAGCACGCGGCACAGAATCACATCGAAGAGTTCGTCATGCTTTGCAAGTTGTTGTTGTTGTTGTGGTCTCAAGTAACTCACCAGTTTTTCTCTACACAATTTTTTGTTTTAATCATCGCTGTCCTTAAAGTTTATCGAACATGCGCAAGCTAGGCAACGATGATCATTTCCCCGTGAGTCTTTTAATTATAACGATTCGGCGTCACGATCCCACTCAGGAATCGACCCCTCTTTGCCACTGCGAAGAATGCGTTGCCACTTGCGGATTCAGAAATCATAAAATCGATCATCGCACAGAGCCAGCGAAGGGACCGTTGCGCCAAACGTCGTGACCTCTTGTGCCAGCATCCACAAAACAACCGCTCGAGCTGACATGCCTGTCAGATTTCGATTTAAAGCTTTCGTGTCTGCAGGGATTCAGTCTTCTTGGTTCTTTCGGTAAAGTCACGTAGAAGGGAAGTAATACAATAATAAAAATAAAACGAAATAAAATAATTGTCACGATGTTTCGGCCACAACGCAAGCAGCCGTCCTCAGGTGAAAACCAGGTCTGTCGAGGCGACAGCGTCTGATGCTGTCGCCTTCGACAGAGGCGACAGGACGGCTGCTTGCGTTGTGGCCGAAACGTCGTGAGAATTATATTTTATTATGTTTTATTTGTATTATTTAATACTTCCCTTCTACGTGACTTTACCAAAAGAACCAAGAAGATGCCTGTCAGCATTCCGAGTGATTTGTTTGATCCACGCAGCAAGTGGGCGACTACCGGGGGTGGCACCATTACTTAAACTTTAGAGCAGGGATTCTTAACCTTTACTGCAGCCTCGCAGCCCTTTAATGTTAATACATAGATAGGGTTGATGAAACAACGTATGACCGTGCTTAATTTGTGTTTTTTTGATGATTTACCTTCTAAAAAAAATCTGGCCATGTCTTGCACGCACAGAAAGGGCATCTCGCACTCCCAGGGGGTGCGTGCACGCCAGGTATGGGACCACTGGTTTAAAGGGTGGCAGTCCACTTCGAAAGTCGACTGTCAGCCGCAGTGCACAATTTACTGGAGTTTGTGTCAATTATTAGACATATATATGCATCTGTTTCGTCAATGAACGTGGTTTCGTTGCGCTCATGATAAAAAAAAAGTTGTTGGATCTTGCGTTGGTATCGCTATTTGTATTCTTACAAGATTCAATGCATGCATCGTTGGCGTCGGGTAAAAGTGCAGCCCTGCAATCACCGACTCGTAACCACTGTTGGCATGAGGGCTTCCGTTAGAGACATCTCAGGAGAGCCTCTCCGGATCGTATCGTGGCCGACTCGTCCACACTGACCAGACGTCATGCAAGAGGTGGGAGTGACCCACACTTTACCGCACCACACGAAACGTGCCACTCGACTGAAGAGCATGAGAATCAACTGCAATTGATGAATCAAGGCCTTGTTGTTGTAGGCGCTTTTGCGTATATATGTGTACACCACCACCACCACCACCACCGCACGTGACATTAAGCAAGTACACTGTTTTACATACATTTCTAATTGCCAACAAGGCACCGTTTAAATGAAAGTCCACGTTTATAAATAAGAGAAAAAGGGAACATTTATATGGACTTGCCGTTTTCTGCCGAATAAACGATGGTGTCGTTGCTGAAAGGTCCTTCCCCGTTGAAGTTGTACATCTTGATTTTCACTTCGAAGGGCGCGTAGGGAGCCAGATTGTCACTGCGGTAGACGTATCGGCGTGATTCCGCCTTCGGAATGGTCACTTGGCGCCAGGCTCTGGTGCCATTTTCCCGGAATGCCAGGATGTAGCCGAAATCCGGCCCGTACTGGAACTGCGGCGCCACGGGCTGAGCAGAAAAAAAAAAACGAATTTCGAATGAAGTTATTGGTGTACTCCACCGTGCTGATGAGTGATGAGGACAACACCGGTACACAGCTGTCTTTCGCTGTGTCACTGCTGCTGTCAGACTTGTCAAATCGGCTTAACTCTATTTTGTACGAATGTTTGCTGAACTTTTTTTGCGCGCCGTACGTAGCCAATGATGCTGATCGGAGGTGCGGGGTAAGGACAACAAACTAAACACGGAGAACAGTCATAAATAAATTAGTTTTCAATCTAGATTTAAAATGCATAATATCGGAAGGAAAGAGCGTTCTAAATGGCTGCAGGAGCGCATTTTGATGGTGACTTAAGACAAGATGACGACACTGCACTTCCTCCGCAACTGCTGATAGTTTATTTTATTATTGTAAACGCACAGAGGCTGTGCGTTTTTTTATCTTCTTCACCTGTTGTTTGGTTGTCGCTTAAAACGTAAAAGTCAAATTTCGATTTAAAGCTTTCGTGACTGCAGGGATTCATTTTCTTGGTTCTCACGGTAAAGTCACGTAGAAGGGAAGTAATACAATAATAAAAATAAAACATAATAAAATACAATTCTCACGACGTTTTGGCTACAACGCAAGCAGCCGTCCTCAGGTGTCAGACTTGTCAAATCGGCTTTCTTCACCTGAGGACGGCTGCTTGCGTTGTGGCCGAAACGTCGTGAGAATTATTTTATTATGTTTTATTTGTATTATTTTATTACTTCCCTTCTACGTGACTTTACCGAAAGAACCAAGAAGACGTAAACGTTACTGGCGCTTCGCTCTCGGCAGCCACGGAATTGCAGGCGCCGTGAAGCGAGCCGCTTGCCACACCGCCCGCCGCCATACCTGCCACGTGATGACGAGCTCATGCTGGTGGCCACCTCCTCCTCCAAGCCCCTCCGGTGACAATTCTGGACCTGCAGCGATGATGATCATAATAATGCAGTAATGGTGACAATTTGTACAATAAAAGTACAAATATCAGTGTCAACCAACTGTTCAGGATGTCAATCAAAAACGCAGCACGTTGTTTAAAGACATGGCCCTGAAATTTAGATAAATGAGCATAACATAATGTCGTTGAATTTCGATTTAAGGCTTTCATGACTGCAGGGATTCATCTTCTTGGTTCTTTCGGTAAAGTCACGTAGAAGGGAAATAATAAAATAATAAAATGAAAACATAGTAAAATACAATTCTCACGACGTTTCGGCCACAACGCAAGCAGCCGTCCTCAGGTGTCTTTCCGACAGACCTGTTCTTCACCTGAGGACGGCTGCTTGCGTTGTGGCCGAAACGTCGTGAGAATTTTATTTTATTGTTTTATTTTTAATATTTCCCTTCTACGTGACTTTACCGAAAGAACCAAGAAGATAATGTCGTTGTATAATAGATTTCTTCATATATTTTTGATTACACTGCCTTAAAAGTGGGAAAATATTTTGAAATATATTTTAAATAATATATTTTTCTGACAATGGCCCTTCTTTGTTTTTAAAATTGTCCAAAACATCACCTGTTATATATTTTAGATTTTAGGGCTACACTGTGTTCAGTTATTGTAATTTGTGCCTGTGGACCACTGCCAATGCATTATCGCGAAAACAAAGCACAAAATGCAAGAGGGTGATAAGAAGTGAATGTTCCGTCAAAAAGCAAATTTCAAGGCCTCAAAATATATGCATACTTAAAACTATTGTTTGCAAAAAAACAAGATTTCTGTCACGTTCCCGATTGAATTTTTTATAATTAAAACAATTTACCACTATTAAAGCGCCAATGTTGATAATAAAATATCTTCAGAGTGAAGCGGAGCAAATGTTATCTGTGGCTCAATGTCATGTCAGCGCTCGGTGCAACCCACAGTTATCGGTGGCAAGGAGAAGTCTCTAGACAGCGGGGTTTTGCATCTCATTAAACTTTAGAAAATTAAACAGCGAGCACCGGTGGAGATGCACACACACACACAACACACAAAAAAGGCACGTGTGGGTGAAGGGGGCATAATCCAAAGCCCATCCCTTCCCCATGCACTGCCTGTGGCTTTCTCTATGTGAACGCGGAAGAACGGGGATCGATGCGCTGAATCTCTGAGTGTCTTGTACGAGCGGGACGGATCGAATTTCGGACCGCTCGAATGTACCGCTTATCTCAAAAGTGCCTGAAATTGGCCATGGTAAACACCAATAGATGCCGAATTTTGCCCACGGAAAATGAACAAATTCCCCCAACGTGCATCTTTCCTGCTCCGTAATCTCTGGAGACACCTCTGCACCAAAGGCGAAATACCACTTGGCTTAGCTTAGACCGGATATGTGCATGACATTTGCTTAACAAAGTCGAGCACAGACAAATAAAAGCTCCGACTCGTGGCAGTGCATTTAAAAGTGACAACATTTACCCAAATTGTCGCAATTATTTGCATGCCAAAATTAAAAGCAGGCGACGCTGTTTGAAAAGAGCCTGAATGTCGAAATTGGTCCGAAACGTGCTTGCTTAAACAAATGCCGTTTAATAATGTTGGTCTGGAAAGAAAACGTGCCGATGAATGAACAAGTATTTTTTTTGGTAGAAACAGAATGGAGTTGCGTTTGTATTTTGGCTCAACAACACCACGAAGCAATGCACGCATACCAAATGAAAATATGTGACAGCGGTGCTCATAATATCCTGGTGTCCATACCAGCTGATAGGGTCTTAATCATTCTTGATGGGCGACTGGCTTCACTTTCCCCCAAAGCGTTGATGGCAAGTACTGTGAATTCGTAGTCCATCCAAGGTGTGAGACCAACGACCGTCGCCTGTTCAGAGTCTCCAGAAATTATATCTGGAGCTGTCAAAAAAAAAAACACGCGTTTAACTCAAAAGAGCACTTGTTAAAAAAATAAAACCTGGATGCAAACCTACAAACGTACAGCAGGTCTGCTGCGAATAAATTATCCATAGCAGTAGCCTCGCACACATATATATATATTTCACGGACGAGTTTTTACGGTCATCGTTTTCCAGAATCGCCTTGTAAAAAAATATATATGCCCCATTTCCACCGCGCATCAAAGCGAACACTTAAACAAAACCGACGTGTAAAATGTGTCAAGCCAGTGTAACTTACACAATGGTTGCCATTGCCACAGACAGTATTTTACTTTGAGGGCCTTTCATACCTTTATACACTACGCAGTCTCCATTGCAATTGTGACATCGTGTTGATATGCACACACAGATGCAGGCCTCTGCTATAAAAGTGGCATTAATATGCACACACATTGTGTCACAAGTAGGAGTGGCATGACACCAGTGCTGACCCAGCCAGTATATTTCATTATTAAACATGAAGCAAGTGCTGGTTTAACACCGAGGCCTTTGCGACCAAGATTATTCATAATAAAGGTTTTTTGGGTTAGATCGCGTAAATATAAATGTGTCGTTAACCCACTACAACCCGACACAGTCGATTTTAAGGTTTATCACGTAAACAAAACGTCCCAATTAGTTTATACTTCAGCATACCGGTGTGTTGGAGTGTAAACCCATAACATTTACAATTTTAGAGCGAGGTTTTGTTAGTGATTATAACCCGCCTCATTAGATTTACCAGAATTCGGGCATATTTATGTTTAAGCAGTCCAACCCCCAAAAAGAAACGTTTATTATGAAGCATGTGTTGCTTCGCTTTCAGCAATACATTGGAAACCATTGCGTTTTAAGTCGGATTCTGACGTGCAGATTATAGATTACAGACATGCAGTGGAGCAATGCCTATCGTCCGGCATGCTGGAGACAAAGTTTGATGAATCTTGTAGATTTCTGAAACTCGCAAATTGTCAAGGGCCTTTGGCAGTACCGAAAATTAGTTTATTTTATGCATCGGTGTGGATGTTTATGTGTTATTGCACGTGGCATTTTTTTCTGGGTGCTCCAGTTTTACATCCCGAGCAAAAATAAAAGTTCTTATAAAGAAAATCGTCAAACAACTCAAAGGGAAACCCTCGTGACAATGAGTCTCGAGACTCGGTGATATTTTCCCCAGAAAATAAAATGACATTATCACTACCGTGACTAGTTTCTTTATTTAAAAATAAATGACATTGCCAGTGCTATTGCGAGTAAGCCCTTCGGCGGTCTCTGTCAATTTCCAGAGGCAGTGGTGCTGCAGTTGCATTGTGAAAGAGCCGCTGCATTATCGTGCCACAAAAAAACACAGATCCCACATTTGGGCATCGCCCTGGCAAGGCCACGATGCACTGGACCGTGCGAGGTTATCTCAAATGGGGACGACGCAGCAGAGGGGTCGAATGTTTGGTGGGGCGGTGCTGGCGCTGATGCTGTCAGGGGTAGGGTGGGTGGGAAGGGGGAATCATAGGGAGGGAGAAGCTTATTTGCATATGGATATCCAAACGCAAATGGATATCCATAGGCCTGTAAAAGCTGCTTGTTATTGGATGACGTTTCCAATTCGCACCCCTTTCACTTAATTTTGAAAGAGAAATCTCACCAGGGTCAGTCAGAAGAAGGAGCCCTTTTCAGTTGCGTTTCAATTCATTACATCTGAATAGATTCGAAATGAAAGTGAAGGAGTAACTTTAATCCGCTGATTGTTTAATTAACTTTTATATATGATACAGTAAATTTGGCTGTGACGGTCCGACCTGAAGACGGAGACTTGTGTTGCCTCCGAAACGTCGAGATTAAATTTTTGTTATTTTTATTTATTAGTATTTTATTTTATTATTATTTTACCTACGTGACTTTACCGAAAAAACCTAAGAGTATATACATGTATATTTCGACTTGTATTTACATTACAAATTTTCCACGTGATGTTCACGCGGCGGTGCCTATCCAGCACAAGAGCCCACTTGCACAGCAACACTTACACGTGCGCACATTAAGCCACTCCGTCGATGCCACTAGAGCCCTGGCCTGGATTTTGTACGAGATGATGGGACTGTGATTGTTGCTCCCTCGTTTCCAGGCGAGCCGCACGGTCGTGCTCGTCGCCTCCTCGGCCACCACAGCCCCAGGAGGCCCAGGGGGTCCTGAGACAGCGCAGAGAGAGAGCAAGGGAGCAACGCTCGTCAAATGTTGCTCCACGCCGACTTCTTTGACAGAATGGGGCTACCCACAGAGTAACACATTAACACGCACGTGTGCAGAACCGGCCCTAGACCTTTGGGGGCCCTAAGCAAAATTTGGTTGGAGGCCCCTTTGATGTATGATTTTTTAAAATGCTTTATATTAAGTTCGCTTGCTTGCGTGCTTGCTTGCTTGCTTACAACCGTGCAAATCTTTCGATCGTTTTTTAACCCACTTCCCGTGATCCAATCGAGCTGACATTTTGCACACAGACTCGTTGTGCGAGACAATTAATGTTATTGAAACATTTTTTCAAAAATTTTACACTGTTTAGGGAAAACAAATTAAATATTTAATTACCAATTGCTTAATACTGGCAGACAATCATCTGACCCATAGGTGGCAACCATCTCAAGCCAGAGGACGAGAGGACTCTAGCCACCACGCATATAAAGGATTTATAGTGAAAAACTTTGTTTTTACGGGTTATACTTGTTCACCCACTAGCTAGCAGTGACTCTAGGGGGCCCTCTGCTGGTCACGGGGCCCTTTGCAATTGCAAGGGTCGCTTAGTGGCTGGGCCGGCTCTGCACGTGGGCATGCATTTTGTTACCGCACGTGTACATATACTCGAAGTAGTTTTCATGTATATCGACAAATTGTTATTAATTTACTGCTGGATGAAGGCCCTTTCCCGGGCCATGTCGTACGTGGAGTTTATTTTGCTGGTCATTGGAGTGTTGCTGAAGTGGAGGAGGTGGTGGTGGGGGGGGACAGAAATAGTTTAGATATAACTGGTCACTGATGTTCATAATCAGAATATTTATTCATGCTGGAGGAATCCGATGAGCTATGATGCTCTTTTGTACAAATGTCCATTCGTTTTCACAGATGTGGCTGGGAATCAAACGTGACAATGCGGTGCGCTAACCGCTGGGCCACCGTCCCCCCCCCCCCTACTACAATTGCTCTGCAATACAATGGCAGGGGGTGGAGTGACGTCATGGTAGTCAGGCGCAGTCCGCATGAAACGTGAACCCAGCTAAATTTCCGGTCACGGATAAGATCAGCGGTGAGTGAGATCTCAACCGGTCCTGCCCCTTTCACTAACCCTGCACTATAATCAGTATTGGGAGGAATGATCAAACACCTCCTCCCCCCCCACCGCCATCGTGAATATAGCAACAGTGTATTCACGTAGGGTTGTAAATTAGCATTAATTCATTCATTTAACATCTCAGGTGAAGGGAAAAAAATAATTGACACCATGAAAATGTCTCAATAATACACCGGGAAGACTTGTTACCAGCAATGCTTATATATTTTCCTTCATATTGAACATCTGTTACTATTTCTATCACTCAGATAAAAAAAGACACATTGTTATTATGTGCCGTAGAAAAACAGCTCCAAAACAACAACCAGCACATACATAATAACCTTCAAGCATTGTTTCCACTGAAAGCAATCACATCAAATATTTGTCACTATCTCACAGCCTGAAAAGATTTCGCAATAATGTAGTCCTTACCTGCTCCAACCATTGCTTTCTATCACAATAACCACCGCCCTCATCACAACCTAAATCCAGAAATCGTGGCAAAAACAAGTCAGATGTTGGGCTATTCTCACCAATATTATTTAACTTTTGAGATGCCGATGAAAATCACATCGCAAAACTTGCTTTCAGGCAGCTGATTTACACATACATTACCTTAAAGAAACCTTCAAATTTAATTTGGTAATCCACTTAATTTGGCTAAATTCCAGTTCTGGAAAAAAAAATCGGTTTGATTTTCATGCAACAAACCTCGCTCTTATATGCAGTGATGGGGAAAGTGTTCCCTCTGCACTGTGGACCAGAGGTCACTTGAAAGGTTCTGAGGGGTAGTTCTGTGCTATCTGCTTCTGTGGGTCGTTCTCTAAAATGAAGGGTTGTGATGCCCTGTGGAAAATTCTAATAAATAATTTGTCTAGTGACGTGATACTGAAAGCGGAATTGAGATAAAATTGGAAGAAGAAAAAAGGAGACAGAAATTTGAGAAAAAAACTGACCTTGAAAACCTTAGAACACCATAACCCCCCTGTCTTTATGTAATGCCAATTGGCCTTTATACATTATTTAAAAGTGCAGCCAATAAACTCATTAATAATGCACGGTGGGTGGAGTCGAACGCTTGTCTAACCTAATTTTGGTGTTAATGTCATCACAGAGAATGCCTTGGTAATGTTTTTCCTCCAAGTATCCCCAGCGGAAGGATATAATTATGTATTCCTGCGCCCATTAACAAATATTTGGGCATTAAATATGCATCGTAAAGTGTACTTGTATAAGTCATTGTCATGTGTACCATTGAGAACGTATGTTAACAGTTATCCATTGTTGGGTTGATAAGCGTCACTTTCATTTTAAATTCACCAAAGCCTCAAAAACTAACATCAAACCGCTCAAATTTAATTACAAAGTTTGCTGTATTTCCAAATGACACACCTTCATTTTCAGATGGCGCCTTCTTGTTCAACTACGGTGATGGATGCCAACCACGCCAATGGGCATATTATGATTAACACGTTTTCTCATGTTGTAAGACTGGAACTCGCAGAAACTTGAGGAAACAAAAATATGGCCTAATTGCCAAAGAATTGCAAATTAATTGAGCATGTAAGGAAATAATGATGGCAACTTTAGCCTTTCCGCCATTAAGTGTGTTCTTTTAAATGGCAAACAGCATCAGATAACTTTCGCAGTAAATGCAGCACCCTTAATGAAGCAAGTTTAATTTCTTTGTCCACGCTGCTGTTTCATTATGCCACGTCATCCACAACTAACACGAAAGGGGCAACGTGTTCCCACTCTGTTGAATGCTAAAGGTATCAAGTATATGTTTAAACACAGAGAGCGTAATGCACGCAGCCTGTAAAAATATAATCTTTAAAAGAGACAAATGCATTCTGGTTCACGCGCGCCATATTTTAGATTAATCACTTAATTAAAACATGATGAAATTCACAGATGCATAAAATTGCTATCCACCCAGGCAGCAGATACAACTGATGGAGCAAGTTTAGGATGCAATCCAAGCAATATAAATGATTTAAAATGAAAATGAGCCCATATTCGCATTAATAAAGATGACATACAAAAATGCAGCAGCATCCTTGGTATGATATATTGGCCTTTACAACTCACAACATGCACACTTCTGTTTTGCGGACGTGTGGCTGGCTGACTGCTCAAGCTCTAAATTTTGATTTAAAGCTTCTTTCGTGACTGCAGGGATTCATATTCTTGGTTCTTTCGTTAAAGTCACGTAGAAGGGAAATAATAAAATAATACAAATATAAAACAATAAAATTCTCACGACGTTTCGACTGCAACACAAGCAATCATCATCAGGTGTGAAATCCACAGCAAGAATTTTTTTCTAAAAAAAGTCGTGAGAATGTTATTGTTTAATATTTGTATTATAATTGTATTATTTCCCTTCTACGTGACTTTACCGAAAGAACCACGAATATGCTCAAACTCTATTTAATAATTCCACTTGAGGACACCGCAATGCAGCTTTCACAAACCGAAATTGCCCCACGCCACACAAGCTTTGTCTAACACAATGCTTGTAAACGCATCTACAATTGCAATCGCTATCCGAGAGCGTGTGTGCCATTTGACAAGCTTGTTGTTTTGGTCGCACGCAACGTGGTTTGATGGAATCCACGTGTAATCACCAAGAACACATCCCACCTTCCAAGAAAGTAACAAAAACACGTAATTCTACTTTCTCTTGAAAAAGGAAACACGGTCTCTTGTACGAAAGAGAGCTTGTGATCAAATAGAGTTTTGTGGTCCCGTGCGGCAAGAAAGCAATTGGAAAAACTACGCTCCAACTGACAGAATGAGTTGAGCTTATGCTTCTACAACAACAACAACCGCGTTCCCCACTAAGTGACGATACCATCACCGCAACGCCTGTGCCAGGGTAGGTGCACTTTAAAGCCACGTCTACATACATGCCCACTCTATCTCTCTCTCTCGCACGGACACGCAAATTGCCTGGCGTCACCTCCTGCATAAACGAATGGCTTCTGGTACATCGAGCATATGCCCTCAATTCAGCTCAACTCATGCTTCGGATTTGTCACATTGGAGGGTGCAGAGGAAAATGTTTCCCTCTTCTTCCCGTTCCCACTTCATCGACCCGACGAGACAACATTTGCCCTGTAGTGGGAATAAACATGAGCGGCTAAGCATCGCAGATATAATTATGTACGAACAAGGGCTGCGCGAGTTAGGACTGTGTCCGGAATTGGTGGGGGGGGGGGGGATAGTCTCCTTGAGTCGGCCGATATAACTTTCAATTTCTCGGCCAAAGATAGCATCAGTCGTATGTGTGTACGTTGAACTTCTGTTGCACCATACGTAGTCAACCGTGCGAATCGGAGTTAGCGAGTGATATCTAAAACCGTGCTGATCACACAGTTGAAGTGTGGAACAACAACAAAAAGTATGTAGTGATTTCAATTTGTAATGTGTTCAGAAGACAACGATTAAGGATTAAGGACCCCGACGAGTATATTTCTGCCGGTTAACATCAAATGTGCGGGTGCTGTGTGGATTGTGGCATCGTATGATGGGGCCGTCCATAAATGACGTCACGCGATTTTGGACGATTTTTGAACCCCCCCCTCCCTCGTCACACGGCGTCACAAAAAGTCAGACCCCCCCTCAAATATGACGTCACAAAGCTCGCCCCCCCCCAAACCATATTTCCATTTTTAAAATAAAACATGCTTCAAATCGCTTTAAACTATTGTCATTGTAGTGCGTATTTAATGTGGCGCTGCACTTTGATGTTGTAGGAGAAAACACGTATTAAAAAGGAGACGTTGGAAAGCTTAAATTTAGCATAAAATTCACTTGAAAATATTCAACGTCTAACTAAAACTGCAGATGTTCAAAATA